ATTACAGAAAAATAGTCAGCCTTTACATCAAACATCGGAATTGAGGTAAATTCTGATGTAAATTGACGGATTTTGGCCGTTTTGCAGGGGAAATCTGGGGAAATTTGCTAATTTGAAATAAAATGCTCGAGAATAGATTCGTTTTGAGCTTTTTATCAAGCAATTTACTGTACTGGCTTACTTACTTGTTTATTTATTTATTTGCCTACTTGCTTACTTACTTACTTACTTACTTACTTACTTACTTACTTGCTTACTTGCTTGCTTACTTACTTACTTACTTGCTTACTTACTTGCTTACTTACTTAGTTACTTACTTACTTACTTATTCACTTACTGACTTATTTACTTACTTACCTACTCACTTACTTACTCACTTACTTACTTACTTGCCTTGCTTACTTACTCACTAATTTTACAATTCAAAACATGATCTACTTACCGTAAATACTCTAATACAAGCGCATGTGCTTCTAATTTTCCACTATCCTTTTTCGGACTTCCCAAAAAGCGGGGACCATAAACAATTTGTTTTTAAATCTTTTAAAATCATTCTAGCTCTATTGGAAATGCTCTAAAAAAACGAAAAACATGTTTAAAACAAAAGAATTTCTTTTAGATCCTTTTAAACTTTACTGCCAACCCATCTAGGTTATAAATATGGCTCATATACACAATTCTAAGCACTTTACAGCGAAAGGGTGCGCGGCGCACTTTTGTGTGGAAAGGGTGCGCTTCTAGGGTGCGCTTCTAGGGTGCGCTTCTAGGGTGCGCTTCTAGGGTGCGCTTCTAGGGTGCGCTTCTAGGGTGCGCTTCTAGGGTGCGCTTCTAGGGTGCGCTTCTAGGGTGCGCTTCTAGGGTGCGCTTCTAGGGTGCGCTTCTAGGGTGCGCTTCTAGGGTGCGCTTCTAGGGTGCGCTTCTAGGGTGCGCTTTAGAGTATTTACGGTAGCTTGTTTATTAAAAACACCTCCAGTTTCGTTTTCATTCAAATTTCTGAGCAAAACTCTTCCACCTTTCCAATGTTCTCACATCCAGTTCCCCAGAAAATTCTCCTTTTTCTGACCTCCGCCCTTTCCGATTTTACAACAAAAGGTGCAATTCCAGACTTTCTTCACATTCTCTTCCAAATATTCAATGATTTCCCCTCCTCAATGTTTACTTCTCATTATTTCCCTCAATCCAAGCTTTGATCTCTCAATTCATCCTTCATCCGCTCATTCGCACTTAAAGAATTCATCAGAAATTCCTTGTCTCTCCCAGAAAAGTGTTTTTGACCAAAGTTTATATTCTTTGGAAGGTTTTTTTTCATGTAATTGCCTTAAAAACGAATCTTTTTGCTTACTACTATTAGAGTACAATTAGAGTACAATTAGAGGACTCTAGCTTTCCCCTGCTCAATTTTCTTTTCTTTTTCTTTCTTTTTGAATCTTTTTGATCGTTTTTTGATCGTTCAGCTTACAGTTTCTTTTGCAATTTTTTAGTTTTCAATTCTCAAAATTACATTTACAATAAGGTTTGCAATTTTTAAGAGATTTCTTTCGCCAAACTACACAATTTTACAAAAATTATCTCTTTTTTTGTGTTTGATAGCTTCAAAGAAAGTGAAACACTGAAAAATCTCGAGAATTTGAGTAATTTTCAATTAAAAATTTCAATTAAAACCCAATGCGTAAGTCTCAAAGATCATTTTAAAAATTTTAATTTTCAAATTTTTTTTTTTTTGAATTCTCGAAAAAACAGGTGAATTTATTTCACAAAATTTCGTAAATCTAAGAAAATTTTGATTTCAATTGCATTTCACTGATCATTTCATTTCATTTCATTTCATTTCATTTACGATCATTCATTTACGATCATTCGATCGTTTTCACTGATCATTTCATCATTTCCGCAATTTTTTGTTTTGCAACTGAGTCGTTTCCGCAACTCGCCATAAATTTCTTCTAAGTGGGCCAATCTTTATGATTTTGGTGCCATTTTATTGCACTTATTGAGAGCTACAAACTGAGAGCCCTTTCTTCCTCTCTAGCTCCAGAAGGAGCATATCTTTTAAATCCCAGATCTCTTTCTAATGTTACTTCTAATTGCTTTTACAATAGTTTTGCTCACGTATAGAATTCCCTACCAATTAGCATTAGAAATTCATCATCTCTCTCCGTTTTTAAACAAGCAATCTCTTGTCTAGCACAATAGTTGACGGGTGGCTACTTTGCGCCAAATTTTTCGCGCAACTGGGTCATTTGCACAACTGGGTCTTTTGCGCAACTGGGTCTTTTGCGCAACTCGCCATAACTTTCTACTAAGTAAGCCAATCTTTATGATTTTGGTGTCATTTTGTTGCATTTCTTGAGATCTACAAAATGACACCAACATCATAAAGATTGGCTGACTTAGAACAGAGTTATGGCGATTTGCGCAAACGATCGAGTTACGCAAATGACCAGCAAAGAAGCCCAGCAAATACCAGCGGAAATTAGCCTACTCCCTAAATAGTAAACCACTAGATAAAAAAGATATTCAGTTAAACGATCAAAATAGTAATTTCCCTCTTAAAGAAGTTGGATTTGAGAAAATTTTCGTTTTTCTAACAAAATTTCGTTTTACTTCTTTTGAAAACAAAATTTTCTGGATTCTTGAGCAATTTTTGTACTAAAATGATCCAGAAAATTTGATATTTGTTGAAAATTATTTAATATTTAATTATTTAATAAAAAACAAAATATTTTTCAAAAAGAAACCCTTGAAAATTGAGAATTTTGAACTAAAAATTGATGAACAAATGGAAAAATCGAGTTCAGAAAAGAGATTTTTGAAAAATTGAAAAATTGAGAAGCTTTAGAACATAGTTTTTCCTAGTTTTTGTGTTCATTTCTTGGAAATCGTATAAATATTTTTGGTTTCTTTGGTAGACGAAAGATTTGTTCAGATTTTTGGCGTTTTAGATGTTTGTACACTTTTCTGAAAGAACTTGTACTGCTGTATTGCTTCGTGGCTTCGTTTTTGAGACTAATATCTTCAGCTAAAACATTTTATTATCAGCTTTTGATTGTTTTTGATTTGAAGATATACGTTTTCTGGCCAGAAGCTTGCCCTAAAATCAGTCTTTTCACTGTTTAGGAGGTTTCAAATTGATTCCTAAACTGAACTGAACTGAACTGGATTCCTTCTTTCTTTCTTTTTATCTTACTTTCTTTCTTCTTGACCTTCTTTCTTCTTGGCGTTCTTTCTTCTTGGCTTTCTTTCTTCCTGGCTTTCTTTCTTCTTGACTTTCTGTCTTCTTGGCTTTCTTTCTTTCTTTCTTCTTGGCTTTCAATTGATCTGACCTGAAAGTACAACCTTACTTAGTACAGCCTTTTCTTCCTTTCTTCTTCCTCCTCGTCTTTCCTTCTTTCTCTCGACAAGTTAAGGTACCGGATAGCTTAGTGGTTAGAGCAATTCAAAGGTCGCGGTCGAGGAAAGCAAAAGGTCGAGGGTTCAATCCTGTCTCCGGATATCTAATTTTTCTTCTTTCTTTCTTGCTTTCTTGCTTTCTTGCTTTCTTGCTTTCTTCCTTTACTTTTTTATTATAACTAACCTGGCCTAGGCCATTTTGGACCAAAAAAATGATACAAAAAGCTTTGTCAAAGTCTTTCCTTGACTTTACATTCATATAAAAGTTATCTCTTTGATCTTTAGTTACATAGTTGTTCCTGGACTAACCATAGGACCCAGCTCAAACCTGTAGCATTCCTGGTTGAGAGCCGGCGTTGATGTCGCAACTTTTGAGTGTACTTTGGTGTATTTGTCAAGTTTCGGTACACAAAACAAGTTTCTGTCAAGCAACAATTGACAGTTGAACAATTCAAACCTTTTCAAAACCGGAGAAAATGAAAGGAATAAACTTTCATTCAAAAAAACAATGATTTCTCTCTCAGAAAAACAGGAAAAGGCTAAAAATAGGGTCAAACTACGGTAGCCATCGTTTAGCATTGACTTGATAGCTTTTGGTGATAGTTGGGGAAACGGAAAAGTACGGCAATTGGGTGACGGCTTCTGGCACACTAGCTCACGGAAAATGAAGCACTTTCCCGAGACAGATCCTCGAATTTTACACTCTCTCATCATTCACGATCATTCACGCATGAGAGTTGAAGACTAGAATTCGATTTGATCATGTTAATTAGCTCATTTTCAACAAGTACCTTGCGTACCTTTGATCTCTGAATCTTGTTGCGTTTAGTTAACCAATTTGTCAACTTGTAGGAGTTGTTCAAGTTGTTTGAATTGTTTGAATTGTTTGAATTGTTTGAATTGTTTGAATTGTTCAAAAACTTCAAATCATAATCTCTTTTTTTTGAATAGAATAAGTTAATCTATTGGAAAGCTCAAATCCAATTTGAAAAGACGCCTACAATTATGAGAAAAAGTGAGAAAGAGATGAGCAATTTGTTTGGATTTTTGGCCTTTAGTTTCTATTCTCTTTCATGAACGGATTCCGGGGATTCTCTTCACTTCCAAAAACTTTTGAATAGTCTTGATAATAAAAATAAACAAAGGATTTGTTTATCTCATCATTTACTTTTAATCCTCTTGGAATCGTTGACTTTTCTGGAAACTCTGACTTTTCTACAGGCTTGGATTGGGTATATAAATCACTGAAAGAAAATCTGCAAAGAAATCAACATTTTCTTGTGCTAAACATTGAAGATTGATTCAGTTCAAGTTCTATCCAACTATTGAAAGCTTGGGCTTGGTTTGGGCTTGGTTTGGGCTTGGACTTGGCTTGGACTTGGCTTGGACTTGGCTTGGACTTGGGTATATAGATCCCTGTAAGAAAATCAGCCAAGAAGTCAACATTTTCTTGTGCTAAACATTGAATATTCATTCAATTCAAGTTCAATCCAACTATTGAAAGCTAGCCATATCTATCTCTACAATTATAGCTATCTATATCTTCAGATATCTAACTGTTTTTAGTATAGTAGAGTAAGTTCTGCTTCTACTATGCAGCTCTCAAAAGAATGCATCCGTCCGTTTGTCCATCCGTCACCAGCATCTTGAGGTTCATAACAGCGGCGGTGATCGTGGCTCATGAATCTCTCTCTCTGGGATCCCCTTTGCTTATGCTCCTTTATCTATTGCCGGTTTATATCTCCCAAAATCTTTAATAGATCTCTCAAATTTTAAAACCTTTCAGCTCTTTCTTACCTTTCTTTCTTAACCTTTGAGCTCTTGAGGCTCTTGATAGTCGCAAAGATAGCTATAAAAGTAATGCGCTGTTTGTAGATCTTGAGATCTTATCTTAAGCTTGTTTTCTTAATGTTTATCTAAAAATCTTTTGCCTAACTATTTAAAAGCTTACTCAAAATCATCTCAACTTTCTAGGATGGACCCAACGGTGACCGAGATTGACGACACTTCTCTATTAGCGCTTCTCGTTGAAATGTTCTCTCACATCATCAATGGATATCTCACCGCTGCTTTCGTCATTACGGGTGAGTTGGGAAAAAGAAGTGATTCATAAAGCTTATTTTCTTCATAAGCCTTCATAAACCTTCATAAAGCTTATTTTCTTATAAACTAGTAACAAGTGATGTCTGTTTTCACAGCTTTTAAGTCTAAAGAATTGCCATTTCATTAGAGTTGGCTATTTTAAGTAAGTAAGGGTCTTTCGAATAACTGAATATCTTACTCTAGTTAAATCTTAAAGCTATTCAATCATTTTGTTTACATTTAGCAAAAATGTTATTGTTAAATTGCTAAGAAAATGTTCACAAACAAAGAAATAAACAAAGAAATTAGCAAATTAACAAAATGCAAGTGCAAATCTGTTGCCTTTTCAGGTGTTGTGCTCAATCTCTTCTCGATTTTCATTTTCCTTCGATGCGAACGAACCGGCACACCGGCTATTCAATACTACTTAGTGAGTAGACACTTGAAATTTAAATCTCAAATTTAAATCTCAAATCCAAGTCTCTCAAATTGAAATCCAAATTGAAATCTCTCAAATTCAAATCCAAATCTCAAATTTAAACCCAAAGCTCTCAAATTCAAGTCCAAATCTCTCAAATTCAAGTCCAAATCTCTCAAATCCAAATCCAGGTCTCTCAAATCCAAATCCAGGTCTCTCAAATTCAAGCCTCTCAAATCCAAGTCTCTCAAATTCAAATCCAAATTCAAGTCTCTCAAATTCAAGTCTCTCAAATCCAAGTCTCTCAAATCCAAGTCTCTCAAATTCCAATTCAAATCCAAGTCTCTCAAATCCAAGTCTCTCAAATTCCAATTCAAATCCAAGTCTCTCAAATCCAAGTCTCTCAAATCCAAATCCAAATCCAAGTCTCTCAAATCAGATTTTCAGATTTCAAAAATCTCAAATCCTTTTCCTTGGCTTCTCATGACGAGTTTTTAGTCTGTTGTTGGCAGACTTCAGAAAGAGACTTTTTGAGCGTTAAAAGAAAGCGATCATAGCCCAACTAGATGTATTTTCAATGAGGCAAAAATGAATGAGAAGCGGAAAATGGAGAAATGCACAACTTTACTATTTTGAGGAGAGGAAATTCGTGGTGTTTTAATTATGAATGGATTTGAGTGAAGGGGAAATCAAGAGTTGTTTTGGTGGAAATTTCGATAAGTAGAAAATGATCGGCTTTATTGTTGAGCAACAACAAAAACTCTTGGGAATCTTTCACGTTTGGGGATCTTTGAAAAAGTTGCTTCTAGAGATGAAGCTTGCATGATCTAAAGTTCATTTTACTCATTTGACTTGGTCAAGATTTAGTCAAAATTGGTCAATTTTCAAAAACTTTAGACATATTCCAGTTCCATAGCCATCTCTAGCCCCAAATTACGACATTTCCAGTTCCATACCCATCTCTAGACCAAAATTAAGACATTTCCAGTTCCTTACCCATCTCTAGACCAAAATCATGACATTTCCAGTTCCATACCCATTTCTAGACCAAAATTAAGACATTTCCAGTTCCATACCCATTTTTAGACCAAACTTACGACATTTCCAATTCCATACCCATTTCTAGACCAAAATCACGACATTTCCAGTTCCATACCCATTTCTAGACCAAAATCACGACATTTCCAGATCCATACCCATTTCTAGACCAAAATTAAGACATTTCCAGTTCCATACCCATTTCTAGACCAAAATCACGACATTTCCAGATCCATACCCATTTCTAGACCAAAATTAAGACATTTCCAGTTCCATACCCATTTCTAGACCAAAATCACGACATTTCCAGTTCCATACCCATTTCTAGACCCATTTCTAGACCAAAATCTTGAAGTAAACTTATGACTTTGCATAAACTAAAGACAAATATCATTATTTAACACATTCACGACGAAGTTTTTTTTGATTTTCGCGAAGTTTTTGCTGTTATATCCCCTCCAGATCGTCAAACGCTCCGTCAAAGCTCCTCCAAACGTTCTCAGACAACCGATTTCCTTAAATTTCGAGTCAAAATGAAGAGAAATGAAAATGGAGTTGATTTGGAGTTGATTTGGATTTGGAACTTTGTACTGACTCGGAAAACTCTCCCCACTGACTCTAGTTTTTGAGTGTAACTGCTACTAATACTAGTTAGTATTGCACTTCATCACACTTGAATTCATTTAATTCATCACACTTGAAACGTTACTTCAGTTTTAAAGCTTACAAACTCAAAGATGCGCGTATGGACAAAGTTTTTCGAATAGAAATCTAGTTTTTTTTCCTTTTTACTCACTCATTCGTCTCCTAGCTGAAAATCGAGATTTTTTTCACCAAAATAAAACACTCATTTTGCAAATCCCCACCCTCAGCCGCTAGAAATAGTTGCACTAAACTCAAGAAAAAAACATCAAAAACATCAAAACAAGTAGGGCTAATGATTAAGAATATTTTAGCGCTCAATTGGAAGATGAAATTTATGACTCATTTCTTATGAAAAAATACCCAAAAATACGTTCGAAAACAAAATAGACAAAGACAAATAGACAATAGAATAGACAATAGAATAGACAATAGAATAGACAAAGAAAGATCAAGAAAAGACAAGAAAGCAGCAATTCTAAAATACCCAACAAAAAAGTAAAAAAGAAAAAGAACTGTGCATGAACGAAGATTAATGTATAGGTAAATGATTTAAATATTCTACTAATGTATCTATTTTTGTTATAGATGCAAGTGAGCCTCAAAAAATAGTCACAGGATAGTCAAGATCTTCGCTGAATATCTGAATTCTATGCAATTTACTCTTTTTGTCTTTGTTTTGCAAGCAACATTGCTCTAAAAATCTTGCAGGAAAAATAGGCCGAACTACTGTAAAACTACGCCTAAAACAACCGGTTTACAGTGATATTTTGCACTAGGGAAAACACTAGGGAACTCACTAGGGAAAGGCACGAGCTCAAGGTAAGCTTTTGGCTTTTGTGGACAACTAGTGCACTTTATGGAATCGGGTATCCGAATCTAGAATCAAAATCTCCCAAAATGACTTTTCAGACGTGTAAAACTTCAATTGAAAATTTAGCCGCAAAAAAAAAACTGGAAGCTGCATCGAACCGCGATCCTGTGAGCGCTAGCCTAATCCGTTATCCACTAGGCGCCATAAACGCATCTGTTCTAGTCTAGGAAAGAGGGTTTTAAAGCATCCCTTAATGTATTGGGTTGATGCATAATTATCCGGACTTCTTTTTGCGTGCTTGTATCTTTTTTGTTTTGAAAGCTTTTTGTCTATTTCTTTTTTTTAAATATTCGTTATTCTTTAGTGAACAAAATGCGTGTCGACAATCATATCCATCTTCGCCATATCATGCTCTACCACTTCGAAAAGGGATGGTCTGCCGCAGAGTCGTTTCGCGATCTCAAAGAACTGGAGAAGCCCCAACGGACTACCACGTCAATCGATCGCTCAAAAATTGGCAAACAAATAAGATCTACAACGATTTGGATGACTTGATAGACGATGTTAAAGCGTGGATTGCCTCCAAAGATCGTTTATTCTTCGCTCGTGGAATCGATCGTCTTCCAAGCAAATGGCAATCAGTTATTGATGTAGGCGGTGAATATGCTCCAGAATAATCAATTAAACATATTTTTCTAACTATTTATGTTATTTTTTGTTAAATAAAATCATTTATAAAAGAAGTCCGGATAATTATGCATCAACCCAATATTTAAAGCAATTTACAACATGTCGATCGCGTCAAAACGAATGCTACAAAAAGGCTTTTTCATTTTCAAAAAATACGTAGTGGATAGTGCATTAGGTTGCCGCCCGCAGAGTCATGGTTCGCTCCCCCTGCAGCTTTTTGTTTTTCTTTTCCCAAATTTTTGTTTGAAGTCATTTGGCAGATTTTGATTCCAGATTCGGATTCCTCATACTCGGTTCTGAAGTGGCCTAGTCGAGACAAAAGCTCACCTTGAGTTCGTCCCTTTCCCTAGTCAGTGACAAGATTTGATATTCTACGAAAATTGATCTTAGCCCTTGTCATTCAAAAAGCCATTCAGGTCACGCTTACCATGTGGCAAACGGCGCTTTTGTGCAACGCTTTCCTCTTGTACTGTTTGCCAAATTTGATCTTCGGCCATCTCGTCTCAAATGGTTCCTACGTGCACATCTATCCCTATGTGTACACATTTGCAAACACAACGCATACAGGTTGGAATTAGCATTAGAATTAGAATTAGGATTAGACTTTGAAAGCGGATTTGAAAGTGAACTAGTGAGAACTAGTACTAGTTGAACTCTCACTTGCTTTTTATGTTTTATTAGGGATGTATGCCCAACTTTAAAGCTTAGAATGAACATTTATAACGACTTTTATTGTTGCCATAATCAAATTTTGAACAAAGCTTATATTTAGGCTCAGTCTGGATCGTTTTGACTTTGACAATCGACCGATATCTGGCGCTGTGTCAACCATTGAAACATCGAGCGATCGGGAAACGCAGGTGAGCTTTGTTAAGTATTTTAGATACCATATACCCAACTTTAAAGCTCAGTCAAGTATTTTTAAGGTCTAGAGTTTAGTTGAAACTAGAGCAAATCAAAAAACTCGTGGGCCGCTGGGACTCGAACCCGTGACCACTTACCGGGCAACTGTGCTAACCATTACACCTCAAAGTACTCGATCTCCCTTACTCTAGAGGGAGTTAAGTGTTTTTTAAAACTTATTTATGAGTACATTCGGATAGTATTTTAATAGATAATAGCAGAAATTATCGTATTTCCAGCCGCGTGAAGCGTCTAATGTTGGTGGTTTCCCTGTTGGCCGTCCTTTTCTCAGTTCCTCGTTTCTTCGAGGTTCACGTTGAAGAGGTACCTTGAAAGCTTTAAAAATCGAGACGTTCTTCAATTTTAATTTCAATTTACTTTAATTTAGGTAACTTTACTTATACATTTCGAGTGTGTGCCTCCTCTGCTTCCCAAGTGCTCCCCTAAGTGCCCCCAAGTGTCCCACTAAGTGCCCCCAAGTGTCCCCAAGTGTCCCCCAAGTGTCCCTCTAAGTGCCCCCTAAGTGTCCCCCAAGTGTCCCTCTAAATGCCCCCAAGTGTCCCACTAAGTGCCCCCAAGTGTCCCTCTAAGTGCCCCCTAAGTGTCCCCCAAGTGTCCCTCTAAATGCCCCCAAGTGTCCCACTAAGTGTCCCACTAAGTGCCCCCTAAGTGTCCCCCAAGTGTCCCTCTAAATGCCCCCAAGTGTCCCACTAAGTGCCCCCTAAATGACCCTAAAGTGCCTCCTAAAGTGCCCCCAAGTATCCCCCAAGTGTCCCTCTAAGTGCCCCCTAAATGCCCCTAAAGTGCCCCCAAGTATCCCCCCAAGTGTCCCTCTAAATGCCCCTAAAGTGCCTCCTAAAGTGCCCCCCAAGTGTCCCTCTAAGTGCCCCCTAAAGTGTCCCCCCCAAGTGCCCCCAAGTGTCCCCCCCTAAGTGCCCCCAAGTGTCCCCCCTAAGTGCCCCCCCCCCAAGTGTCCCCTAAAGTGTCCCCCTAGGTGAACACTTTTTTGATGTTTTTTGCCCATAACTTTCTTCAAAGTTAACTTTTTTGACTGGCTTAGTTATCTTTTTATTTCTTACATTTAAACAAGTCTAATGATCTAATGAATCGTTAGATCATTGGATTTGTTTGTGTCCCCTACCAGGCCATCCTGGTAGGGGGAGATTTAGGCCTTTGGCGGCAGAGGGGACGACGCTCGAAATGTACAACTTTTCTATACTTACTTTAATTTAATTTACTATTTAATTTGAGTTAACATTTAATTGCTGAATGTCAAATTCCACTTTCAGGTTTGCGGCGCGGATCGCCGCACCGGCGAAGAGTACTGTATTCCGCAAATCGCGAGAACCAATCTGTATCAGGTATTTTTACTAACTTTTTACTAACTTTTTACTTACTTACTTACTTACTTACTTACTTACTTACTTACTTAAAATCTCAACAAATCGATGGTTTGGACTTGCAATTATCCCAAGTTCTTTCCAATTACAGAAACTCAAAAAAAAATGTGTGAGGAAATCGCCCCAATTTCCCTTGCTCATAAAATATTTGTCTAAAAAACTCAAAAAAAACTTTCTTTTGCAAAGATTGAATGAGAAATTTGAGAGGGAAAAACTTGGATTATTAAGGGCCGAAGAAGGTTCCAAGAATTTGAAAAATAAAAGAGAAGTGGGGGTTCGAAAATCATCGAATGAGATGAGGATGAGGACGAGATGGTCAAGTGGTTTTTTCTGGGGTAAACAGGGTTTTGGTTTTGGTTTTGGAAAGCTGGAAATGTTTAAAAATGGACCTAGGTCCTAATAAACACTGAAAAACTCAAATTCTACAATAGACAATAGGTTAAATTCATCAACGAGCAGTATGCAATAATTGCAAGTTTTACAAACGACTCACTTAACTTGTGTATCGTATTAAAATCAATGCTAGTTCGACAGGAAACAACGGCAAATGATTACTTTCCAGGATGGCCTCTATTGGTCTGTGTACCATGTGATATTGGCAATGCTGTTCGTCACTTTGTGCCCATGCCTTCTCCTTTGTGCCCTCACGGCGAGGATCTCGATCGAGCTCCGGAATGCCGTCGCGCAAAGGCGACAACTTTGCCCACCAAATTTGGACATTGATCGACGGTGCAAGACGAAGACGACAGTCTATAGCAGGTTTGGATTGGATGAAGTGTTTAGTGAAAGTAAAAGATGACAATGAGTACCGACTGTAGGTATTGGGTACTGTAGCTAGGTACTGTAACTATTGGGTACTGTAACTGGGTACTGTAGCTATTGGGTACTGTAGCTATTGGGTACTGTAGCTAGGTACTGTAACTCTTGGGTACTGTAGCTGGGTACTCTAGCTATTGGATACTGTATTTTAAGCTATTGGGTACTGTAGCTGGGTACTGTAGCTAGGTACTGTAACTATTGGGTACTGTAGCTGGGTACTCTAGCTGGGTACTCTAGCTATTGGATACTGTAACTATTGGGTACTCTAGCTATTGGATACTGTAACTATTGGGTACTCTAGCTATTGGGTACTGTAGCCGGATACTGCAACTATTGAGCACTGTAGCTGGGTACTGTAACTATTGGGTACTGTAACTGGGTACTGTAGCTATTGGGTACTGTAGCTATTGGGTACTGTAGCTGGGTACTCTAGCTATTGGATACTGTAGCCGGATACTGTAACTATTGAGCACTGTAGCTGGGTACTGTAACTATTTAGTACTGTCGCTTCCAGTTTATCAATCAAATCAAGTCATCTTCAGAAAAGAGCACAAGGCAAACATCATGTTGGTGCTGGTAATCGCCAAATTCTTGATCTCGGACATCTTGCCCACAGTGGCCGATCTACTAGAAAATGTGAGTCAAACGAACACTTGATGATCAAAGTTCTTGCGGAACTCCAGAAACTCTAATGACTTTTTGACTCCAATGCGGAACTCTAATGACTTTTTGACACGCAAAGATCTTTAAAAAAGCACCTGTGTAGTCTTTTTTACGAAACGTCAGCATCTAAAAACATTTCTGCATAATTTATTCAACTGAAAAATTGAATCTAGTTTCTGAAGGCTCTCAAGGGGATTGCAAATTTTGAGACAAAGGAAAAGTTGAACAGAGAAGCGTGGGAAGTCAATGAATTATGCGGAGGATGAGTAGAAAAGAGCAAAAAAGGAAAAAAAAGAAGAAAAAACAAGAAAAGCGAAAGCTTTGAGTCTTTAGGAGACTTAAGGAAAAGCGAGTCAGTTAAAGAGAATGGGTTGGGAAAATCAAAACAAGCACATATCTAAAAAAGGGGGCTTTTGGAAATTATAGAAATGAGAAACTGGTAACGAATCCACAGCTGGGTAAAATCATTTCAAGTAGTGGCAAAGAAATTTGTAATTTTGGTCCAACAATGTTACAAAGTTTCAGCAGTACAAAACAACTTTCTAGTGGTATGTATTGGGTTGGTGAATTGAAAACTTTGACTTTGAACCGGACTTTGAACTAAAATTTATTCAACATAAAACCATCGATTCATTCCAAATAATTTCCATTATTATTGACGACTTCTGCCCATTTTACAGGCAATTTGCGGATTCCTCTTTCGTAGTAGGATTTTGGTTTGTGTGTGAGACAAGTGTGAGACTCAAAAATGGAGGACTGGAGATGGAGACTGGAGATCCCAGTTTGAGCACTTTCTTCAAAAGAAACCCATTTTCGTGTCAATAGAAAAGTTGTAGAGAATCAAAAATTAGGCTTATAGCCAAATTTCCAAAAAGATACACCTAGTAGTTTCGCTTAAAATACAAGATTTGTTGCAAGTTTTGTTGCAAGTTTTGTGAAAATTCGTAAATTTGGTATTTCTTGAAAACCAGTTTTTGAATCGTTCTGAAAATTTGGATATCAACTTCATTTTTGATTCTCTACAACTTTTCCATTGACACCAAAATGGGTTTGTTTTGAAGAAAGTGCTCAAACTGTGACATATGACAATAGCCCACAGTTTTCAATTCACCAACCCAATAAGTAGTTAGTAGGTTAGTTGTGTAACAGTTAGTATAACAATTAGACTGTGCTCCTCGCAAGTAAGGCCTTTTTTAAAACGCACGCTTAGGAAAAGTTACCATACTTTTAACGAGAATTATTGCAAAAAAATTAGCACGAAAATCACGAGCCCCGCCTTATATACCGCTCCTTTTAAAGATATTCAACCGTTCAACTGATTTGGTCGCAAATTCCCTTCAAATGTAAAGATATTCAATTTACTCGACGTGTAAAGAGGATTACTCGTAGTTACTCGACCAAAAACGCCGATTAATCGAGTAAAGATTACTCATGCAAATTTTACTCGAGTAATTACGCGAGGAACACGCTCTAGTAACAATTTAGTAAGTTGGTAAATTGAATATCTTTACATTTAAAGGGAATTTGCCACCAAATCAGTTGAACGGTTGAAAATCTTCAACTTCGAATCTTAAAAATAGCAACTAGACTCGCGCAAAAGCTTTCTCTCAACCCATTCATCGTTGATCATTTATCATTTATCACTCTGAGCTATCACAAGACTCTTTCTCAACGTCTAGCCATCAAATTGAGTTCAAACTTTGTACAATAATGTTAATATCTTTGATAATTATCATACTAAAATATCAGAAAGATCTATGGTTTGGCTTTTGGAAAATTTTGAAGAAAAGAGAGGCTTATTAGTTTCTTATTCTCATCAGATTGTTGACTAATCTAATATCAATTGTAGTTGACTCCTTTATCAACTTAATCATCACAATCTTTCAGTCATCATAATCTTCTTTACCATTTTACCAATCGATCTTTCAGTTGGTCGGCGCCGAGACGTTTATGTCGAGTCCACTTGCCTCACTCTTTGTCGATATCTCGAATTTCCTCCTCGTTCTCAATTGTTCCTCAAATTTTTGGGTGTTCATCATTTGGGGAAAGCGTTTCCGGAAATCCGTGAAGAATTTCATCGTTTCGACAAAATGCGGTGCCGCTTTGTACAAAATGACACAATTTGGATCAGAAACGGTAAGTGATTTCAATTGTCATTTGAATGGACATAAACGCTGGTAAACTGGTAAACTTTAGTAGTATTTTAAGAATAATAATAAGGCCAAATAAGCCTTTAATCAGTCCAAATAAGCCTTTAATAAGTCCAAATAAGCCTTTAATCAGTCCAAATCCTGATTTAGACTTATTAAAGCAATCTTTTTGCAATCAAAACAATCAAAACAATCAAAACAATCAAAAATCTTCTTTTTTGGAACCTTTTTGAAATCCTTTTGAAATGAATTTAAGAATCTAATCGATAATTAGCCTGTACTGTGAGCTTAAATTGAAAACACTTTCTTCTAGCACACTGGATTTCAGTTTTTTTTAAATTCCTTGTGATATTAATGAATATTTCAAGAAAAAAGAAGAACTTCGTCCGCTAGAAAGGGTGCGTTTGCAAACAAAAAACAAGTACAAAATACAAACGCATCTTTTTTTGCGCACGCGATTCTTTAGCTTTCACTAGAAATAAGCATTTGATATCCAAGGAAACTAAAACATTGCGATGCCAGAAGTATGCCAGAAGTGGTGTGTTTCCGATCCAGAGCTCAAAATAAGAACCAATCGGTATAAAGTGATCGGCGCTTGCATAGTTTTCGGGTATTTTCGAAAAATTCGGGTATTTTGAACGGGTCGTCACGCTTTGAAGGCATATAACTTTGCCCAGAGATCATATTTTTGCTAACTTTTTATATCATTGTACAGCTGACATTTTAGACTTTCGAATGATACCAAATAGCGCTTGATTGGTTAATCCAGTTCAAGAAAATCAGAGCCAACTTTGAGCAAATGAGGCCTATCCAATTCGGGTGTCGTGTCCCCTTGTTTGCATGGGAATGAAAAATTCAATCAAGCGCTATTTGGTATCATTTAAAAGCCTAAAATGTCAGCTGTACAATGATATAAAAAGTTAGCAAAAATATGATCTCTGGGCAAAGTTATAGGCCTTCAAAGCGTGACGACCCGTGCAAATTACCCGGAAAATATGTAAGAGCCAAGTGATCAAACCAGTAAGCCAGACACCCGGCGTTTATGTCAAATAAACCCCCTCAAAAGCACTCTATCCATCCTCTATTCTATAAATTCTTCAAAAATTTCCATTTTTCTTTCATTTCCCCGGAATTTGGGTGAGAATTTGCCGTTTCGATATGACGAATTTCCCGCAAAAATCTTCGCTCACCCAAGTCCATCGTTTTTTTTTCATTTTTCAGATCTCTCTCACCACTTTTCGCCAAATCGAGAAGTTTAGTGAAATGTACGAAAAATAGTGGAAAACTTATGAAAATAGTAGAGATTTTTTTGCTCAAATTGACTCTTCAAATTCCCTGCAACCATCCGTCGTACTCACTCTAACAATTTTTTCTTTCCTAGATTTATTTAGTGAGTTTTTCTGCTCGAATTTCCCCCCAGCATGGCTTCAAATTTTTGAGCGATTTAATACAAGAGTTCGTGTCGATATATTGATCAAAAGTTTTTGAAAAAAAAGGAAACTTTCGATGTGAATTAGATGTACTTTGTGCTCTGGCAGATGCACGGTATCTAGCGCACTGGATTCTCTTTTGTGTGGACTTTGTGTTGGGACAAACGGGCAGCTTCTGGCTTGGATCAGGTTTAACAAATCAGTGTGCCAGAAAGCTCGCGTTTGTCCGAGAACAAAGTAGAGGCGCACCTAGCGTTCCTAGTGCGCTCCTAGCGTTCCTAGTGCGCTCCTAGCGTTCCTAGTGCGCACCTAGCGTTCCTAGTGCGCACCTAGCGTTCCTAGTGCGCACCTAGTGTTCCTAGTGCGCACCTAGTGTTCCTAGTGCGCACCTAGCGTTCCTAGTGCGCACCTAGTGTTCCTAGTGCGCACCTAGCGTTCCTAGTGCGCTCCTAGCGTTCCTAGTGCGCTCCTAGCGTTCCTAGTGCGCACCTAGCGTTCCTAGTGCGCTCCTAGCGTTCCTAGTGCGCACCTAGCGTTCCTAGTGCGCACCTAGTGTTCCTAGTGCGCACCCTAGCGTTCCTAGTGCGCACCTAGTGTTCCTAGTGCGCACCTAGGGCGTTCCTAGTGCGCACCTAGCGTTCCTAGTGCGCACCTAGGGCGCTCCTAGTGCGCACCTAGCGTTCCTAGTGCGCACCCTAGCGGCGTTCCTAGTGCGCACCCTAGCGTTCCTAGTGCGCACCTAGCGTTCCTAGTGCGCACCTAGCGTTCCTAGTGCGCACCTAGCGTTCCTAGTGCGCACCTAGTGTTCCTAGTGCGCACCTAGCGTTCCTAGTGCGCACCTAGCGTTCCTAGTGCGCACCTGGCGCTCCTAGTGCGCACCTAGCGTTCCTAGTGCGCACCTAGCGTTCCTAGTGCGCACCTAGCGTTCCTAGTGCGCACCTAGCGTTCCTAGTGCGCACCTAGCGTTCCTAGTGCGCACCTAGCGTTCCTAGTGCGCACCTAGCGTTCCTAGTGCGCACCTAGTGTTCCTAGTGCGCACCTAGCGTTCCTAGTGCGCACCTAGCGCTCTGGTGCCTCAGAGCTCTTGCTCAGAGTCCTCAGAGACTTAAATTTGATCCAAATCAAAATCCAATCAATATATCGAACGATACTTTAGAGTTTTTACAAGCTTCTTAAAAGATTATCGATTTCAGGACGTCACTTCGGTGTTGATCCCGACGGTTTCCCCGCTCGGTGCTCCATTCGACACAAAAAGGTCACCAAAGCTGCATCTCGCCGTTTCGTCCAAGTGCACCGAGTGAGCTTTTGTGATTGCTTTCGAGCTTGGCTAAGGGAAAAGTTATACACCGGTGACTCCGGATTTTGACTCTGGACTTTGCCTCCGGATTTTGACTCCGGGTTTTGACTCCGGACTTTGATAATCACACTTCAACACACACTAGGCTATCTCTTATTCAGTCTTATTGACTGAATGCTTACTGTATTCTGGGACTGGGATTTGCAAACTTATGCTTTTAGCTTAGCTTTACTTGGGAAACTTTTAGGTTTACATTTTACTAGCTTTATTAGCTTTATTAGCTATTAAATCATTATTTTATTAGCAAATTAGCTTCTACGCATGTCTTATTATTATTTACCATTTATTTATCATCCAAAAATAGACCTCTCATCTATAAATTGAGTCTAACGTTTTGCAAATAAACAATCTGCATTTGACAGGACGAACGACTGGTTCAGCGCTCTCTGAACCTTCAGAGATTTCTAAAAAACAGAAATTGTGAGTTTTGGGATGAGTAGAAAACTGTCAAATTATGGGAACAAGTTTAATGCAAAGTGTCAGTGGACTTTTTCATCACTTATACCAGAAGAAAGCGTTCAGCTAGCTTTCTGGACTGAATATCTTTCAAATTCTTTAACAAAACAAAAGATTTTCAGTCTTGTTGACTAAATTCTTCAACAAAACAATAGATTTTCAGTCTTGTTGACTAAATAGCTTTCTCCTGGTTTACTTTAATGAATAAGCTTTTGACATTTACAGTATTTTTAAGCCTTCCATCCTTTGCATGATCCCCAAAAACGGCTTGCTTGCTCAGCTTGCTTTTTTGCGTTCTTTTTTTTCGGTTCTTTATTGGTTTCAAAACTTTTCAACTATTAACAGTTTATCGATTAACAATTTACATTATCGATTATCGATTAGCAGTTATCGATTAGCAGCTATCGATTATCAGTTATCGATTATCGATTATCGATTAGCAGTTATCGATTAGCAGTTATCGATTAGCAGTTATCGATTAGCAGTTATCGATTAGCAGTTATCGATTATCGATTATCGCTTTCATTTATCGATTATCATTTATCGATTACAGAGAAAATTTCAGGGCAAAAACGTACGCCTCAACGGGAAACACAACGGCGCGTTTCTCGTCGAATTGCTGGGATTACGAGAAACACTCGATGTTACAACAATTGGAACGACAAAAACTTCTTCACTCGTAGTCAATTTTTAATTTTACAATATCTTTCATTCAATTTCAATATCTTTATCTATTCATAAAGCTTTATGAAGTGATTTGTATGGGAAAGCAAGTCTTTAGCTTTGAGCAAGCCTTAGCTTTGAAGCCATCTACTTGTTACTCAAAAAAAAAACTTTAAAGCAAGCTTTCTGGCGCACTCATCAAAGCATAAAGCTTATCTTTCTCCTTTCTAGTCAAGTAACCTTGTTTTCAAGAAAATCCGAGAATCAAGTGCACTAGAAAGGATACGTTTGAGCACAGTTCAGCTGCTTCCAAATTCTTCAATTTAACAACATAATTTCCTTATTATATTCTGATGAAATGTTATTCAGAAGACAAAAGATTTGCAATTTTTTGGCCTCTTTACGGTTATCGGCGGGGACGAGCGATTGTCAGGGGGTCGAGTTTTTACAGACCGATTTTAGATAGGTTTTTGTTAGTAGCTTTTGATAAAACGAATATTTTCGGAAAGCTAGCGTTTTAAGCTATCTAAATCTTATCAAAGCTTTCCAAGCTGACAAGTTTAAGGTGTTTAAACTTGAGCTGCAAGTTGGCCAAAGAGTTGACCTCCTCCCCGGCCCTCCAATAATCGCTCCCCTCACCGTTAAGCACCACTTTTTGTATTGTTTTCTAAAAAAATTTTCGCAGCTCAAACATGAATTTCTGAGATTTTGTGCAAGGATAGTGTTTTCCCGTGTACTAGGAGTCGCATGTTTACACGAGCAGAGTACGCAAAAACTTTCACCGTACTCCTTTCTCATTGAGTGTTCCAGAAGTGGCTTTTTTTGTGCGTTTTCTGACGCAGAAAAGTACACATAAAGACTTTCCCGTGTGCGCCAGAAGGTGCGCGTTTCTGCGCCTTCTGAACACTGAAGAAAATTGAAGAAAACTGTGCTTTTTATTGTCACTTTTATGTCACAAAAAAGTCACTTTTATATTGATTGAGTTTACCAGAAGCAGCGCGTTTATGCTCCAAAGTACCAAAGTACCCAAGTACCAAAGTACCCAAGTACCCAAGTACCCAAGTACCCAAGTACCCAAGTACCAAAGTACCAAAGTACCAAAGTACCAAAGTACCCAAGTACCCAAGTACCAAAGTACCCAAGTACCAAAGTACCCAAGTACCAAAGTACCCAAGTACCAAAGTGCCCAAGTACCAAAGTACTAAAGTACCAAAGTACCAAAGTACCAAAGTACCATAGTACCAAAGTACCAAAGTATCAAAGTACCAAAGTACCAAAGTACCATAGTACCAAAGTACCAAAGTATCAAAGTACCAAAGTACCAAAGTACCAAAGTACCAAAGTACGCTCAAAACTCTAGCCTACAACACTTTCCTTTGCACACAAATCCCTTATCTTAATGCCAAATTTGAAAACCATACCTATATACAAAAAACCTTTGCCTTGTCTCGTGTTTACTTTTCTTGTTTTCAATCTCTCAACTGGTGGCTCACAGGGTTTTTTTTTCTTTCAGTAACGGGATTTTTTTTTTTGTTTATTTCTTTTTGCAAGTGAACATTTCCCTCCAAATTGTCGAATATTTCGATCTCATTTCCATTGAGTGCTTTTTGTTTTGTACAAATTTTGTATTTGTATTTGTATATTTGTCAATTTTCTCCTTAATCAATATCAATAAAAATTCTCTCAAGAAAGCAATAAAATGGCGAAAAATGGAAAAAAGAAATTAGAATATAGAATATAGAACTATAGAAATCTTCAATTTTAAGACAACTTTTTGATTTGTTTAAAGCAGAAAAGAGATGAAAAAGTGAAAGAAAAGAAAGGCAGTGATGAAAATTTGAAAGTTTTCTCCTAAATCCCACTTTTTTTCTACCAATCGATCTACCAATCGCCTTCTTCGTCCTGGAAAAATTAGTTTATAGTTTCTTGTACAATTTCTTGTACAATTTCAACTCAAAAGTTTTTTCCAGCTATTGATTTCAGCTATTGATTTCAGCTATTGATTACTGATGCTTTGAAAGAACTAGGCGTTGATGTGGTATTTAGAATTTCACTGAAGCCTCGCCAAGCCATCCTTAGCCATCCTTAGCCATCCTTAGCCATCCTTAGCCATCCTTAGCCAACATTAGAAACACTTGAACTTCGATTTAGCTCAAGAAAACAACCAGGCTAAGTTTTATAGCTCTTTTGGTTAGACATTGATTGCTATTGATTCCAGCTATTGATTACTGATGCTTTGAAAGAACTAGGCGTTGATGTGGTATTTAGAATTTCACTGAAGCCTCGCCAAGCCATCCTTAGCCATCCTTAGCCATCCTTAGCCAGCCTTAGCCATCCTTAGACATCCTTAGCCATCCTTAGCCATCCTTAGCCATCCTTAGACATCCTTAGCCATCCTTAGCCATCCTTAGCCATCCTTAGCCATCCTTAGCCATCCTTAGCCATCCTTAGCCATCCTTAGCCATCCCTAACCAACATTAGAAACACTTGAACTCAAGCTCAAGAAAACTCAAGCTTATAGCTCAAGAAAACAACCAGGCTAAGTTTTATAGCACTTTTTGGTTAGATATTGATTGGCAATAGGCTTGCTTTAGCCTTACGACTAAAAGAATTTAGCTTGTCAATCAATGAGTCAAGATGATCGCTTGTTAAATCATCTCTTTAGTAAATAACTTCGAAAAACCCATGGCGTAAGTACAGGGTGCGGCATTTATATTAGTAGTGCTAAAAATGCAAACCTCTTCATCAACCCGATCCATACTCCTTGATTTTGCTTCGCTAGCCCATCTTTCTGCTTTGCCAAACAGAAATGAAAACTGTAGCTCGAAACGTGATGTTATTTTTTTCAATCTGCAATTTGTTGACCAATTTTTTCCGACTTTATACTGTACTAATAACATTCTATGAAATAGCACTAATCCAGGCCTAATCTTGTTACCGTAGTTTCTCAAATAGTAGTGCACCCCGGCGAGCCGAGTTGGTTTCCAAGCTATTGCTGAAGCTCAACACTCAAATCCCCCACAAGATCTCATCGTCAACTACATTTTCCGACCCCACATCGATAGGTTCTGATAAACGGTTCTCGAGATTTCGAGGAATTTAGGCGACGCTGTTTAGGGGAAATACGGGAAGTAAGATTTAGAGAGATAAGGAACCAAAGTTATAGAGATAAGGAGCCAAATTTAGAGATATGGAGCGGTTCTCGAGATTTCGAGCAATTTAGGCGACGCTGTTTAGCGGATGCATTACTAAGGAAATACGGTAAGCACGATGTAGTCTTAAATAATTGTAAAGTGCCTATTTCAGAGGCCTCCTCTAGACGATGTTCAACTTTGCTCCTTGCTACAATTGCTTCTCAAATGGGTCCAACTGAAAAAGGTTCAACAACGCAAAATCTAGAGCCGAATAAGGGAATTCACGGAATGGTTGAATTTCAGAAAGGTTCCGTATTGCTGGCTTCCGTTTGGGCAATGGATCCGCGAGTAGCATTCGACTGTCAGAAATTCGAAGCTCAATGGTTAAAGCTCAATGGTAAGCTCAATGGTTAAAGTTACACGAAAAACTTTAGCACGCTATGTCTTCCTTTTGATGACGTTTTGAGAATCTTGGCCGCATGTGCTCTCTTGAAAAATCTGATGTTCTACGAGACTGAGGATGGGGTTGATATTGAGAATCTCAATGGTTTGATTTCTGAAAGCATTATTCTAAGCATTCGAAGCATTCGAAGCATTCTAAGCATTCTAAGCATTCTAAGCATTCTAGACATTCTAAGCACTCTAAGCACTCTAAGCATTCTAGCATTCTAGCATTCTAGCATTCTAACCATTCTAACCATTCTAAGCATATCCTTTCAAAGCTTCTAAAGCACTAAAGTTTAATAATAAAATTGTATTTGAATGGCACCTATTTGAAAATTGTACGCAGAAATTGCAACTAGTCGTAGTTCTATTGTTTCGAAAATTCTTTCAAATTTAGACATGGAAGACGCGGCTTTCCTCCTTGGTCTTTCCGCTCTTTCACTCTTCAAAAAACTCATCGCTCGTTCGGTGATTGTACATAAAGAAGAGGCGACTGGGATCAAAACACTGTCCATTGTGAATTGATTTACATAACAAAATAAAGTCCCCTTATTAGGCAAGAATGGAACGTGACCATCTCGTTGCTTCACTACACTCTCGTTTGGTGCAAATGGTAATCCGACGAACGAATGCTTTGTTTGAACTTGGCTCCTCAAACGATTCCGAGGACGGGAGCGTGAATGATGATTCGGGTAGCTTTTGGGACAACTTGTGATCACCAAGTTATAGCTTTCTAGGAATCGGAAGTGTAATCGAGATCGGATCGAGTAAAATCGACATCATCGACATTGCTGGTTTGACTGGAGTGAATCAACGAGGCACCCGATCACTGCACGAACTTTGCACAACTTAAATATAGAGGATGGGGTTGATATTGAGAATCTAGAGCGCTACTATTAGAGAAAATAAGGTATCCATTTTTATGTGCATATCTACCTTTTTTCTGAATCTCAGACAAACTATTGACTAGAATAAATTCAAAAATGAAATAAATCAAATCAACCTCTTGTTGAATAATGATGAACGTCACCGACATCAATGAAAGACCAAATAAGCACAGAGTGTAGGTGAAAAAGCCTCTGAAAAAACAATTGAAGAATGAGGCTGATACTGCAAGTGACTGTTATGTACTGTTAATTACAGAATTACAGGGCCCGGGTCCACCAAACTATTTACCATTTACCACCTAGCATTTACCGGTTCACCATCTAGCAATTTTGCTAAACGGATTTAGTCGTTTATCATTTGCCAATTTTTCAAAATCGATTTACCAATTTAGCAATTCTACTAAATGCTACTAGATTGATGGAAAAGAACTTTCGCTCGCTAAAGTAGTCAGCTAGTCCAAAGCCGGTAGCTAGTCCAAAGCCGGCAGCTAGTCCAAAGCCGGCAGCTAGTCCAAAGCCGGCAGCTAGTCCAAAGCCGGCAGCTAGTCCAAAGCCGGCAGCTAGTCCAAAGCCGGCAGCTAGTCCAAAGCCGGCAGCTAGTCCAATGCCGGCAGCTAGTCCAATGCCGGCAGCTAGTCCAAAGCCGGCAGCTAGTCAAGCCGGACTCAAAGCCGGCAGCTAGTCCAATGCCGGCAGCTAGTCCAAAGCCGGCAGCGTCAATGCGGCAGCGTCAAGCCGGCAGGCCAAAGCCGGCAGCTGTCAATGCCGGCAGCTGTCAAAGCCGGCAGTGGTCAAAGCCGGCAGCTGTCCAAAGCCGGCAGCTGTCCAATGCCGGCGCTGCCAAAGCCGGCAGCTAGTCCAATGCCGGCAGGTCAAAGCCGGCAGCTGTCCAATGCCGGAGCTGTCCAAAGCCGGCGCTGCAAAGCCGGGCTGTCCAGCCGGCCAGTCCAAAGCCGACCAGAAGCTAGATCTGCCTTCACCAGGTCTGTTGTACAGGGTACTGCAAAATTATGAAACGAATGCTTATTGATGAACTAAAAGAAGAAAATCAAGAGAGTACACCGAGCGTTACTAGGTTGATGTAAAAGAAGTTTCACTCGGTATAAAATGTTCTATTTTTTAATGTGGAAATCTTATTTGATTTTCTTTTGTATCTTTGTACTCTTGAATATTTACTTTATTTTTACGCTTTTTCTAAGTCAAAGCCTTTACTTTTTAATTGCTATTTGCTTTAGATCATGGTGGAGAAAGAAAGTCAAAAGAATGTTGTGCACGCGTGTCTTCTCTACGATTTCAAGATGGGCAAAAACGCTGCCGAATCACATCGTGATCTGTTCCGCTTTTGGTGAACAAGTTTTGACCGAAAGATCCTGCCAGCTCTGGTCTGCACGATTCCGAGAAGGTATTGAACCTCTTGAAGACGAACCACATGGGCATTGCTCGGCAGCTATCGATAGTAATGAATTGGAACAACTTATTCAAGTCGATCCAATGCAAACAACGCAAGAGCTCGCCAAACTTCTCCAATGTGATCAATCAACAACAATTGTCATCAATCAACAAAAAATTTAGCATTTGCTGAATTTAGCAAGATTGAGTTTTGTTTCTTGTAGACTGAATATTCTGATGTCATCAAATAAAGCGAACTTATTCAGTCAGCAAAAACAAACATCGTTTGGGACTAAATTTAGCAGTTGGTGGACCCGGACCCAGCTTCCTCACCTAACTCTTGGATCCTCTTCACCTATCGTTGAAAATTGTAAGAAGACACTGAACATTGCATCGATAAATGGCTAAAGACTATTTCTAGTTTTAGAAATTCCTTTATTTACCGTATCATCAGATCCCTGTTCAACAATATCATAGATAATTGCTCCAAAGAAGATGAGACTCGTTGCAGCGACTAGGGTCTTTCCCTGAAAAGTTGAGCATAGTAAGGCATAGATAATTCCAAGGGAAAATTCCAAGCCGAAACTAATTCCACCTGCATTTTCTTGGCCGTTTCTTGACGGATTGCTCTGAAGTTTTGTCTACAAGTTGAAAAGGTCGATTCCTTTCTGTAGGCAAAATTTCAGAGCGATCGACCAAGAATCGGCGAAGAAAACGAAAGTGGAATTAGGTTCGGCTTGGAATTTTTCCATTTCTAGTAAGGCATGGCTTAAGCGATGGTCCTAGAAAGAGAAAGGTCGACTTGAGAAAGGTCGACTTAAAGTGGTCCTAGAAATAATCTTGTCATTCGTGGCAAATAGTTCAAAGCTCACTAACCGTTGAGCACAACGATGAGGCCATTTGGTTGCATTTCTCCAAGTAGAGAAGCGTTAACGGGACACCAAGAAGTGCGTAGATGAAACAGAAGATTTTCGCGAATGTTGACAATTCCCGACAATCGATCGGTCCTATAAACGAAAATTGAAGCTAGATTCGATATTTGGCTATCAATAGTTAGATCAATAGATCAATCAATCAATAGTTAACTACTAAAACAAACCAATCGTTGTGATCATCGCAAACGATCGCTCAAAGTGGCCCCAAAACGAGAAATCCCTTTGCTCGACCAACGAGGAAGCGCTCGAGAGAAGAGCCTAAAAGTTAAAGTTGGAAATTTACATTCAATTACCATTCATACGAAAGAAAAAGCTATTTTTTCTTATAAACTCTATTGCTTTAAGCTTTGTTTCATTTATTAAACATTTATTAAACAACATTCAATCACTTGCCTTTTCATAGGCTTCCATTTTCTGATTTGCCAACTCTTCCCAATCATTTTCGGATTTTGCGAGTGTTTCTGCCCATAAAACGTTCAGCAGCTCGGCTCGTTTCACGTCTATCCGCTCCAGTTTGTCCAGTGATCCCTGAATGATACAACGATACTTTATGCTGATAAAATAATTGGTTTTCAAACATTTTATACGCGCCCCGTCCCTTTTGCCATTGGCAATCTGACTTTGAGCTCAAATTTCTTGGTGTTGGGCTGTCCAATTTAAATATTCTTGATATCATTAGATGCACCAAGTCTTTCTCTGTCGATTGGTACAAAAACTATTTCAATTGGAGAGCCCAAGACCAAGAAATTTGAGCTCAAAGTTGGATTCCCAAGGGCAAGGAGGGCAGGCGCGGATAAAAGTCCGATCGCTCCGCCCCTTTTGCCATTGGCAATCTAACTTTGGACTGAAATTTCTTGATGTTGGGCGGTCCAATATCAACATTCTTAGTATCATTAGATGCACCAAGTCTTTCTCTGTCGATTGGTACAAAAACTATTTCAATTGGATCGCCCAACATCAAGATATTTGAGCTCAAAGTTGGATTGCCAATGGCAAAGGGGCGGGGCGCGTATCAAAGGTCCCACAACCAAAATAATAGGTTTATCAATTTGAATTAAAGCTGATGCCAACGCAAATCACTCTCACTAACTTCAAATCTGTTTATTTATCTAAAACTTCATCCAAACCTTGTCATATCGTGGTGGTCGTATCAACGACAAAATGGTAGCACCAAGAAAAAGATAAATGACAATCAGAACTGAATAAAAAATCGTCCTCCTCAACGCCAACTCAAACTTCGGCTCGATTTTTGGCATTTTTTTTTTGTCTGTCTAAAACTGTCTAAAACTTGGTCTAAAACAAAAAGAAAGTCTTTAAAATTCATAAAATAAGACTACAAAGGTCATAAGTTAATAACACCAAAAATTGCTTAAAAGAATTGGTGGCCCAAAAGCTCTGGTACTAATAAAGTTGAGCTGGTACCTAAATTGATTTTTCCATCTTTTCCAGGGGTAATCGATAACGCTGATCACGAATTTGATGTTTAAAACGCGTGTTGTCAATTCACTTTTCGAGTTCTTGGCAATTTTAAGTTCCAAATAAATTTTGATCTTTTTAAATGCAAATCTCACATTTTGTATGCAAAAGAAAGCAAAGCAGAGCACATTTTTGTATGCAAATAAGCCTGGGACACGATGCTGAGCCTGGGACACGATGCTGAGCCTGGGACACGATGCTGAGCCCGATCCACGTAGCCCAAAATCTATGCTGATAAATCGGCCGGGTACTAATAGCCATTCTTTCCATTCTTTCCATTCTAATAACATATACTCAAATGACAACTCTACCACAAGTTTTTCGACATCTGACAAATGCGACCTTTTTTTGCGCACCTGGACATTTGCGCACCTTTTTTTTGCTGGAAAAGGCCTTAGGAAAGGTCATAGAGCTTCGAAAATATTTCCATATAAGGGAATCGTATGTGTAAATTCCGAATTTCGAAAAATCAGACCTCGCTGACACGTCAAATTTGGGCTAAAAGGCCAAAACTGCGCAAAAGCGTTAAGTTGCGTAGTTTTTTCCTTTTAGCCCAAATTGTCAGCGAGGTCTGATTTGTCGAAATTCAGAATCTACGCTTACGATTCCCTTCTATGAAAACATTTTTGAAGCTCTACGACCTTTCCTAAAGCCTTTTGTTAAAAGCCTAAATGTTAAAAGATTGTTTAGGCTGTTTTTTTTAATCTTTTGTATTGGAGTGTATTGCTATTAGAGCCCGGCCGATTCATCAGCATAGATTTTGGGCTAAGTGGACCGGGCTCAGCATCGTGTCCCAGGCTCAACATCGTGTCCCAGGCTCAGCATCGTGTCCCAGGCTCAGCATCGTGTCCCAGGCTCAACATCGTGTCCCAGGCTCAGCATCGTGTCCCAGGCTCAGCATCGTGTCCCAGGCTCAACATCATGTCCCAGGCTCAGCATCGTGTCCCAGGCTCAGCATCGTGTCCCAGGCTCAACATCATGTCCCAGGCTCAGCATCGTGTCCCAGGCTCAGCATCGTGTCCCAG